CATCTAGTAACCTGATATGGTAATCTTGTATCAAACTTTCTAATCCCTTTTACATCAATATTGATGTAAAAGTGAATGATTATTTACTTTTTTTTGGTGGTCTTCTTTAAAATTTGGGATTAATCTTCTTACATCAATTGCAGATTTTTTCCGTTAAATTTTTTTTTTAAATTTGGATAATTTTGATTAAATAATCATGAAAATCTTATGACATCATATTATCAAAGATTGAATTGTGTGACAAAAGATTTTTGCACTAATACTCTCAATTTTGTGCAAATATGTATGCGCATAAGAGCTGATGAATTTGACACAAGTTTCACACTTGAGTTTTCTTAAGTATATTCGCTGTCAATTTCTCACTATTGAATCACTATTTCAGACAAATGCAAATACCGTGGATTACTTAAATCTACGAATTTTTCTTTGACATTCAAAGGATTTTAATCCCAGATTTACAACATTATACGAGGTATTTCATCCATATATTGGATAAATATTGTCAATCTATGGATGAATTGATGATTTAGACATGCTGTATTTTTCCTCTCAGTGTATCCTATGATGATCAAGATTCATTATGCTTTTCCTTTATAAGTAATGTGTATCTTAGCTTGACCATAAATTAAAACCTTTTTTAATTTCATTCATCATATCTCTAAAAGAGTAAAATCTGAATGATTTTGATTTATATATGAAAGTTCATTGTTTATTCTTGAAAGTGTTATTCATTTAGATGTAATAAAAATGTTACCAGTCCATAACAGATGATGTTTGCTATCATGCGTGAGAATGGATACTTATGTCACAATAGCAAGCACAAGAGAAATTGTTTTTCAGTTGACTAGGATTATACAATAATTGATTGAGTAGAGCACATTTTTTTGCTGTATAATGATCAATAATATACGACTTTACAAAGTCTGATTAACCAAATGCTTAGAAAGATGGCGAGAATAACGATAGCAATGAATGACACAAAATAAAATAAATTGCATAAAGATCACCGTTTTTATTTCTCAAGTCAGATAGATCGCATTTTTGAACACTTTGGCTACCATATGCCAAAGTGTGTAAAAATCTATCACATTATGTTACTAGAGTATAATTGTCCCTTTTTTTTGTGTTAAAAAATATGAAACCCACACTTTGAAACCTAATATTTCATAAGGAGTAGATGCTTGTGTTTTCGCATAATCAATTTGAAATTTTCTCTGGTTAATCACGTAATGTATTTTGGTTCACTTGTTTTCATCACTCTACAAGAGTGACTAGCTGTCTATAGGAAAACCGTTATTCTTCCAATGCTTTAGTATTTGTAGACAATATGAAGAAATAATTCAAATACGTTAGGTGCAGTGGAGATAGATCTTCCATTTGGATGCTAGTGAGGCCTAGCCTCATATTAGCCTTTTGGTTGCATCCTGTTTAGCTTGGAGTGTCTTCCCGTCCTTTAGGCTATATTTCTCGGTTTTGCCTATGAAGTGCTCTATCCTATGACGAGCGAATGGTATCGAGGAGGAAATGGAGATCCCCACGGTGAAAGGAGGCCGATTTATGAGTTCCGGCCCACGATTTCCTATAGAAATTTCTCTTTACCAGTTTTCTTTCTTCGACCCGGAATAAAGTCTTTTCCCTCAATAAAGTCGGAAAGGAGGTGCTGGTGAATCCGAAGCCCATGGCCTCGCCTGTCGTAAATGTGTGCGGAGTCCATGGGAGGGATTCGGCTGCCCTTGGCCAGTACGACCGTGAGACGCAAGGGCCGAAACAAATACATGCACCCGTCATAAATTTATCAAATCTACAGTGGCTGAAACGCTGAACTACTCCTCCAGGCGGAGGTGGCAAAGAGAACATCCAGTCTAATTTTCTCCCTCGTAAGAGCTTCACAGCATCGCCCTTACTTCGAAGAGACTGTTTTCTTTACTCTCTGGTGTCAGGTGTATATTGTTGCCTATCGTTGAACTGCCACTCCCAGAATTGAGGTGGCCGTAGCGTATGCCTTTCGCCCCGTGAAAGCTGCTGACCTCTCAACAATTTGCCAAGTCTCCTCAACTGCAGGAGGATGACAGACTATAACCAATTCCCAAGGAAAGTGAAGATGTTCAACCCGTTTTAGATCACGAAACTTAAGACATATTTCAAGGTAAGAACAAATTAAGGAGGAGAAGAGAGCTGAACTTATCTCGTGGCTATCTACTATGTTTTATTTTTAAATGTCTAGGGGGTACAGTACTTTGGATTGTTTGGATAAGAACCGTATGTGCTGGTGAGGTTGCAGAGACATTCTCCAACATTTTGGGTCTATGCCGAACGGACATAGGAGCTTGTAGAAGTCTGCACTGATTGTTGAATCGAGAGCATCTTGCCGGACAAACAAAATAGCATACATATGACATCACTACGTTCCATGCAGCAGCGACCGAAGAGAATGCAACAATATTTAGTGTTTTTTGGATGAAGAAAGTGTGCTTCCAAACAGCCATGCTTGGGAAACTGCAAAGTTCCCCTACCACCCCGGGGTCATGCAAAATGGACCCGAGAGGTTGTGGTAGATTTGGCAATTCAATGCTCCTTGGCTCCGAAAAGAGTCTTTCAAAAAGCCATACTTATGAAATTTTAACTCTTCTACGTTTCTTGTCCAAGCTAAATGAACCTCATACATTTTACAGATGTCAGCTATTCATTCAGCTGGACATCTTTTCCAGTAACAGGTGACCACATAAGATGGCCGCCCAGACAAAGGCAACATGATTATGCAAATACAAAGGAAAAATAATGCTATTCTTTCCAGCGATTCCTTCCAGGTCTTTCTACCCTTTATTGTTCCCGGATCGTTTTCGTGGCACAAGTAGAGGCAGAAAAAATCTCGGATACTCCAAGCGATAGAAAGTGAGACAGAGCGACTACTGATTCGAGAATCCAGATCGGTGAATAGGACGGAAATCACGAACGTCGTAGTAATTACGAGGGTGAAGGATGGTGTAATGGCGACATATATGTTCCACAAGATTGGCAGGCTTAAGCCTTCATTGTCTCCAAGAAAAAGAAAAATGTTGCGCATACTCATACCATTGTAAACCCGGTCGACACAACTCTGTGAAGCGTTGGAACTCATGCCACAGCACGAACCGGATGGAAGGCCGCAAAGTGGGAAGAATAATGCAGTTTTTAGTATGGGAGGCGCTTCTTTTGTGGGCCTCCGTAAGAAGAGTACCATGAGAGAATTGTGCACGTGGAAGCTACGAGTAAGACCCGGAGAATCGTCAGGGTTGAAGTTTGGTCTGAAGTCGTCGTGGACGAGGGGTATGGAGCAGTGGACTACTTGCCTACTGCAGAGTTCCATCACCACGTTAAATTAGTCACGTCAAATTATACCCAGTAGCACGGATATTCTCAATTTGGCACCATGTGGCGCCAATTTTAGCACACAGATGTTCTCAGTTTGGGAACCTGTTGCGAGCGAGACACACCGGAGAACGAGTCCTTTCTGTAGAAAATATTAGGCATTTATTGTCGCTGCCAACCACAAGGTACTCACCTTAATTATAGTTATTGCAGGAGCAAATCCCATTTTAGACCCAAGCTGAACATGTGTGGCTATGGCGCCTCAAATCGAACCTCCAACCGCGCGAGAAGGACATGTGACTATGCGTAGCTCCTTCTCAGGGTGAGCACGTTCAACCCTGACAGACGAGGCACCGACGACCACCATCGACGACATGGACTGCAATTATATACGAAGATTCTGCCGAGGAGCTGTATCACGACCAAATTTAATTTAAGCGCTGGTAACTAAAGTGGCCGGGGTCTTTCTATGAATGTGCTGTATGCGACTTCCTGGCCAAAATCATTGCGCGCCTGCATCTGCATAGGACACACCAAAGTAAAGATCTCGACACTGGGGAAACACCGGGCAGTGTGCATGATGTCGATGGCCTTTGAGCTTCGAATTAATGATCCGGTTCCTCATGACTTACGAAGATACCGACCTGTGCAGTTTCCACGACAGCATCATATTAATTTGCTGCTTGATCACGGTTTATATCCAAGTGCATCACGCGTCCTATGGACGTCTTCCTATTCTCCATGTATGTGCAGGGCACTCATGGAGCTGCGCCTTCGGGCATAAATGGTGTACACCTACAAGCTCAGAGAGAATTCGCTACCCCGATATGTGTTTACATGTTGATTTTCAGTGTTAATCAACTGCGGACGTGGTTCGTGTTTAGATGCACATACGCAGAAACAAACACTAACTGCTGGTGCACATGTCTGACATCAGATCGCTTTCCTTCACGTGACGAGCCGAGAAATAAACTTCTGACGTTTTGAGCCAAGAATTATATTTAGAGCAAGCTTAGGCTCTGGGGAATATTCTGGGAGGCAGTGTGGCAGCTGAACACGCTCAGCACGGCAGCTTGCAGCATTAGAAGATCCGACCTCTGATACGTTTCTACGGCAAGATCAGCGGAGTACAACGAGACCAACGACGTCGTGCACTTGGACTGGAGGATGGAAGGACATCGATATATATATACACACGTCCACAGGAAGAGAGTGACGGGTACAGGTACGGAACCTGACCGATAAGTTATGAGCGAGACGATTAGTTAGGGGAGAAGGGCTCGCACGTTGACTTCGACCTTTTCCAAAAGGCAGATCTGCTTGAATTCATGCCGGCGCTTGAATTAGGAATGGTGGGTGGCGTGGCGACCCCTCGCATGGTGGGGCAGGGAAGAGAGAAGCGAGCTCCTCTCCTCTCGGGGACTTCGTGGTTCCGATTATTTCGCAATTTGCTTGAACCTTTCGAGGAGAGTTCAATTATGGGGAGCGCAGGATGGATGTTCCGCAGCCCGGCCTCTGATGATGGTGCCGAGGCGCGCTAAAAGACGTCGACCATATCTCACTAAACTAAAGCCGAAAATGTGCAGCTGGGCTCTCCGGGCCTATAAGAAGAGCAGTGTGCCGATGGCACAGTGGCACATTGGCACATCCCCACCGCCCTTAGCGAGTACGCACTAAGCCTGAAATTTATCCAGTCCTGGACCAGCAGACATCTGATCGAACGCAGCGGGGGCATATCCTCAATCCACGGCTCCCAGCTGTCCCGCACGTAAAGCCCCGCATCTCGTCCAGTTCCCATGCGCAGAAACAAGACATATGTCCACTAGCAACATCAGTGTCTGCAGCAGTAACAGGAGCAGGGAGGTGCCATCGCTCTTCAGAGCTACTTAAGTCACTGCGCCCAGACTGCGACGCCCACCGGGATCTGCTGCCGTGCCACGCTGCTGTGTCGAGCCAGCTCGAAGGGAGAGGACGGGGAGCTGAGCTGAGCATATTAGTACCAGAGCACAGCAGAGTGGAGCTCAATAAACGCACCTGCACCTGCAGCATCTCTTTCGTATGAGGTCGACAGTTCCATATCATAGAGCCTCGGAGTCATTGCTCGCCTCGCTCACGCTCACTCCACCGTCGTACTTACAGGTTCACTGTCGCCGATCACTGTTGGCTGCTCGCGGCGATATATCTCGTCAGGGTCAGGCAGTGCCAGTTGGGGAGTCAGCCTCTCAGACAGTATCTCGCCAATCGCGACCCGAGTCCGCGCACGAGGCAGGTCCTGCTCTCGGGCCCTCGTTGCCGTAATCTGTCAGTGCGCTTTTAAATTATCTAGCTAACGCGTGACGGTACCGCCTGCATAGCGGGATTAGCTTTGCTTTGTACACTCTTCGAGCTGCGATCGAGGTTGTCGAAATGTTGCACCTGGTCGAGTCCGTTTGGGGCTCCACTTATGTCATGCAAACTGTAGCGGTCGTATGCGCCATAGTCGTAAGCTCCATCGGATACAATCTCAGGCACCGCAATTATAAGGGACCCAAATCGTACCCCTTGCTCGGCGCAGCTATCGGCCACATTCAAAACTATCATCGGCTGCACCACTGGCTCCTCACTTTCTTCCAAAAGAACAGCACCATCGCCGCGCCCATGCCCATAAATCAAGTTTTCTACTACACCGTCGACCCCGCCAACGTCAAGCACATTCTGAAGACCAACTTTCCGAACTACCCCAAGGTGAAGTATTTATCTCCCTGTCAGTGAGGGCAGCTAGCTCATTCCGCGGGCTCGTTTCGCAGCATTCCACTGCATTGAAGTTGGGCGTGGCGTGCAGTAGTTTTCATTTTCTTCATCGGCTGGGTCTGTCTCGGGGTTGCCTGCTCGAGCCCTGAGAGGCTGAGCTCCTTTCTGAGTGTCGAGGCTCAATTTCGTGTCTTCTGCGCAGGGCGAGGTTTTCCAAGACCGTATGCAAATCCTGCTGGGCGATGGCATCTTTAACACCGACGGAGAAATGTGGCGCACTCAGCGGAAAACTGCTGCGGCCGAATTCTCGCTGAAAGCGCTGAGGGATTTCAGCGCCGATTCGTTTAAGGAGTACGCCTGCCAGCTCGCGAACGTGACGGCTCAGCTAGCATTCGAAGGACGTTCGTATGACATGCAGGTGAGTGCGCTCATTCTTCACGCTTCGCTCTTTCCAGCACAGCACCGGCCCCAATCCGAGACGGAATCTGTGCACGAATGATGCCCTCGGTGGCTCCGTCTGACGAGCGAGACAGTAAATTTTCAATAATGTGGTATCCCGACGCCTATGACAGGACTTGTACATGCGCATGACTCTAGACTCCATCGGCAAGATTGGGTTCGGAGTGAACATTGGATCGTTATCCGACAGCTTCCCGCTTCCGGAGAACGAGTTCGCGATCGCCTTCGACCGCGCCAACGAGATCGTCACCCAGCGCTTCATCGACCCACTCTGGAAGCTGAAGCGGTTCTTACAGGTGGGCGGCGAAGCTGATCTGAACAGGAACATCCGCATCGTGGATGACTTCGTCTACGGCGTGATTGCCAAGAGGAAACTCGAGCGCAAAGAGCGAAAAGCGAAGCCGGACGCCGAGGTACATTCTCTTCAGCTTCATGCCCGTCCACGGACTCACTCGCTCGCCTGGGAATTTTGTGGTCTCTGAGCGTTCTGTGCGCTAGCCAGCGAGGTCTCGAGTGGACACTCAAAGGTTGCTCGTGTCATTTGTGGGCGTGTGTGCAGCAACCCGAGAAGGCAGACATTATTTCTAGATTTCTGGACCTGAGCGAGAGTGGAGCGCATGCGAACATGTCCGACAAGATTCTGCGCGACGTTGTGTTGAATTTTGTGATCGCCGGGCGGGACACTACGGCCGTGACGCTGTCGTGGATGACATACATGCTGGCCGAGCACCCGGCCGTGGCCCGGCGGCTGTACGAGGAGCTCCGCGCCTTCCATCAGAGGAAGGTCGGGGCCCGAGCCGGCACCTGGAGCTGGGCCAGGGAATGGGAAGAGATCAGACAGCAGCTGGGCGAGGAAGAAGCCGAACGGCGCAAGAAGAAGCTGTACCTGGAGTCGATGCAGAAGCAGGTCGCTGAATTCACGAAACTCCTCAATTACGAATCGCTGAAAGAGCTGAACTACATGCAAGCCGTGCTTACGGAGACGCTCCGCCTCTTCCCGGCAGTTCCTCTGGTAATGAGACTTCTTCCCTCCTCTCTTGCGGTGGAATCTGTGGAGTGACCTCACTTCTCAATTTGTTTACATTTCTCGAATTGGAATCCATGCTGATCACGGAATTGGCGGACGTAGTCCGCCCCCTTTGGCCACGGCCGAAGAATGGGTCGTGCATGATGATGAGGGCCCTGGAAAGTCGATTCATGTCCTATGCATGCATGCTTTTCGAAGGTCTCACGAATGCAGTTGATTCTCTCTTCCAGGACCCGAAAGGCATTCTAGAAGATGATGTTCTTCCGGACGGAACCTTCCTGAAAAAGGGCAATCTGATCTCCTACTCGCCATGGTGCATGGCTCGCATGAAGTCGATCTGGGGATCCGATGCAGCAGTCTTCAATCCGGACAGGTGGTTGCAGAGCGGAGTCTTCGTGCCCGAGTCCGAGTACAAGTTCACCACATTCCAGGTACTGCAATCAATCTCATGCTTTGGCATCCATCCATTCATCCATTCATTATTTTAGACCTCACACACGAGCACACGGTCGAGTCTAGAGGCGAGATCCGAGGGAACGTCCCCTGAATTCTTCTGACCGAGTATTCGTCTTGCTCTCGCTCGTGCTCTGCAGGCTGGATTGCGGACTTGTCTGGGCAAGGATTCCGCCTACCTGCAGCTGAAGATTGTGGCAGGCACAATGTGCCGTTTCTTCGAGTTCCGAAGAACGTCGAACCACTACATCATGTATCGAATGATGGCCACTCTGTCCATGCAGGGCGGGCTTGACGCTGTTCCGCATCTGAGAACAGATTAGGCGGAATCCCAACTCCCAGCGGCAATTCCTTCCCGGCGATTATGGATTTCATTTATTCCCGATGCGGGCGAACGGACGAGTCTACCTCGAGGGCGACAAGAATCACGTGATCGAGCAAGACTTGTGAAACCCATCTCTCGTCGAAACAAATCGATGTACGGAGATCTACACGCGCGCGGAGCAAAATAAAAATTTCCACAGCGAAAATTGCTGAAGCTGTGCCGTATATAGAGATCTCGCCAATAAAAGTTGTACAAGTACAGAACACTGATCCGGTATCGCCTAGTGCGGACCTCAACAAGCGAAGTAATTCTGGCAGCTTCCTTCTCATAAGGAAAGATCTGAAGATCTTAAGATTGTTACCCCTAGAGAAGATATTGCATGGAGCATACGTGCGCAACGAGTATATATCTCACAGAACTTACGGGGGTTCGGCCAGGCATACAATAGTTAGCATGTAAGATTACGAGAATTCCATTTCAAAAGCTCCGCAAAACTGTCATAAATGTCGTGCTGGCATGCTCATCTGAACAAGCGCTTTCGTGCAATACCTTCGACGTTACTGTACCTTAGTTGTTGATATATGCATGTCAACGATAGCACAAAATGAAATATTTTTCATTCAAACGGTATTACTGATGTGAAATTGCTGAATGTGTGGGTTGGGAAGCGCAACTTATGAGCAATTATGTCATCGTCCACTCTGGACGAAGAGCAGTAAGACAACTGTCATATCTGCATCGAGTGACCGAAGAAGTTGAAAGTAATTGATTGTTGAGTGAAACATATCCACTTTCTGCTTATTCCTCGCCTCTGTAAAAGACTAAGCATTTCTATAGAGAAGGATTATCTGGGGATTTCGAATAGTACCACTTTTGATACATATCTGTCTATTTGCTTGGTATTTTGTTAAAATATTCTCAGACATGTGTTGTTTATTGTTGATGAAGTGCATTGTACATCTGTTTCTAAAATATGCAATTGGACATAAGTTTTCACATGGATAAAGATCAGTACAGTCATTGCCAGGGCTGAAGTCAATGCAGTGGAGGAAAATTTTGATTCACGCAAATAGCAATTCTTCTGAGTATTGTATGCGAGAAGTAACTTACGGTAAGTTAACATTCTGGCCGCTGTCAAATTATCACTGCAGTCTGTCATCCTCGCATCTATACTTCACGATCAACAGTAGCTAGGGCTACTTCGCCCAACACTAGAGAAGCAGAAAATGTTGGAAGGAACATGAAACAGCAATAGTATCTTCACGCGTCTGTTGGCAGTCCGTGACCCAGTCCAATTCATCGAAGCGTCTGATGGCAGTCGGTGACCCAGTCCAATTTATCTAATGCGTTACAATATTTCCGTTGAGAAACGTCGATGAACTAGGGTATGGACTCTGAGAGAAACAAGATTAATCGAACCAATGCTCAGAGTGACAGTACCCAACTCCAAATCCACTTCACGATTACGCAGTAGGAAGAGTTCCTTTGGGAGCAAACTCCTCTGCATGTCAGCGTGCTTTCTCCAACATTCGGGTCAGATGCACAAGTGACACTCTTCATTAAATTCTACACTAGTTTAAAAATAGTAGAAAAAGCTTATATGTGAGCGTTGAGCAACGAAAATGCATATAAAGTAAAGAGGATTATAAATACAGTTCATGCCACTTTAGTTTGTTTTTTGTGAAAATAATAAATAAATATTCTTTACACCTACTTCCTAGTTTTGCTTGTAGGTTAAACAAAGGGTATAAATATGGCATCTATCTCTCTGTCGTTATTGAACTTTGTCCTACCTTTGACAGCCATGCTTTTGCTTTCAGCGAAGGAGCAACAATTGCACCTGTCCTTTATTCCCCATCTGGTAGAGCTTGATACAGTGGCTTTTTGTACGAGATATCTTCATGCACGTTTTGTATTTGACTGCAACATTTGCATGTCGTACTTCGACAACGTTATGTGGTTCCTTTCGGAAATAATGAAGATGATGCAATTTTGATGGGTATTATCAGTTACAACCCAGATCGTGGGCTATCGACGCTGCAAATTTGAAAAAGATTTGCGATCTTACAGCCGTGGTCGTAATGTTGTCCAGCACATGAAACTTATGTTTGAAACGCGGGAACAGCATGTTCATGAATCTCCACAGAAATTACAAACGAGCAATAGGTAAAATCAAATGTGGGATCAGAGATTACAGGATCGAGGTTACAAATTCTCCGAATTGATGGCACTAGCAAGGAATTTGTGTCAACTATCAACGGCTTGACTGTACATTGACAGCTCTATCCTCTGTTCATTCCACCGTATAGTTGTTTCGTTCTCTTTTGGTTTACCCTCTATTTCGACACAATTACCAGAAGTATCTTTACTTGGCAACGTGGGGAAAGCTGGTCGAGCAACGTAAGCTGGTACAACAAAGCGTCAGTGATGGAAGCATTCACAAGAGTAACCTTTACGATTTGGCTGAGATCAATACTACTCTACGTCCACAAGAACGATGAAATGTGGAGATTCGCTTCGAGTGCACCACGCGGCCTTCTTTCTGTGTCACGACCTTTTCTATGCGTGTCAGGGTGATCTGCTACTTCGAACACGATGTGTCGGATGATATATGAAATTGAATGTGTACAAGACTACGCTACAAGTTTGCATTACGATCTTCTGTCTTTCGGCGCATTCATAAAAGCATGCGATTTTTCTCTCAACCACGTTAAAAGGGTTTCCTTCGCCGTTTGTCCACATAAGCCCACCCAGGTGAAGGCGTTTATAATGCACCACTCAAGTCACCGAATGAAGGGAAGCAAAGCTGTGATAGCGTCTGCAGAGTTTTGTTGTCAGCCTCTGGCCATTCCACAGAATTTGGTTTTACAGAACTTTGCTGGCGGCCACACATGTGCGCTATGTGAGAATTCGCATTTCGAGAACAATTGATGTGTGAATACTTCCTCAATTCCTCGAAACAAACCACTCGTCGATTTGGACATTGCTTGGATTCTCATAGCTGGGTACGAGAGTCTTCGAGATGTGAAGGATGAATTCTAAGGGCCCACCGACGTTGTGGACAAAGAACCTTCTCTGTGCGGACGAAGAGAGGAACTCCGATGGGCAGGGGATGCAAATTCAACCTGTTTAGCAATCTTCACGAGGGCTGGCTATATAAAAGATGGAATGTGTATGGATAAATAAATATATAGACATACAACATATGCCATTAATACCTGACAAGGATATGCACATGTACCATATTGCATTTATGGGCTTCACACTCCTAGCCTTGTTCGAGAATGGATGTTCTCACTTTTTGTTTTATGCCCAATTTAGAAGAACGGCGGGGCTGTTCCAATAACACTTTGTCTTCTCTGCTTCCCCATAGAGAAACTCGTAAGCATAATTCATTCCTACAGGCGTACTTGGAAGTAAAACAGCGATAGCAATTCATTTGAACTAGGATGACGTAAATGCAAAAAAGAAGTAAATATTTACTTATCCTTAATTTAATATATGCGACTGAAGATGTTACCAGTGTTTATATGTTTTTCTGCATAAGTTTTTGATCTACAATGCATTTGATTAAATCTTGTGCTTAAATAAACTGAAAGAAAATTAAACATATTCAGATTTCTCAATAAAATATAATTTTTGCTCATAATTATGTGTCCAGTCTTTTATTTCATCCTTTTTCTTGAGTAATTTTATAAACTAGATTTTTTATATATATATATATATAAACCACGCGATGGTAGCATATAAAAGTTAATATATTGAATACTCAATATTGATGCAAATCATCTTTTCAATTCTTAATTTTAATACATTCTGTGAGCAGTTTTCTCATATTTTTCATTTGACATGTAGCTTTTGTTCCATAAATGAAACAAATCAACTAACTCACTTTCTGAGAAAGTGTTTCTCTATATGATTCGTAGATTTTCTCATTGATCTCCGCCGACAGTAAATCTAGTCTCTTCGTTTGTGTGTCTTCAACCCTTTTTTAAGCCTTCTAAGTTGGGATAAAACCTCTGGAATAAAAAGTAAAGAGTAGGCTGAATTCTCAAGCTAGAGAAACTCCTTATTATTGAGATGAATTTGTGTCATAAGATAGTACCAAGAGAGAGAGAAAGATATATATATATATAGAGAGAGAGTGAGAGTATATTATAATTGTCACAAAATTATAATATCCTTAAGTTGTTATTGTGCAACTAACAGGAGTATTGATGATACCTTCAAATGCTAACACAATCTCTTCTAATCCTTAAACGGAAGAAATAGTACAATGTTACGAATCCATAAAATCCTTCGCAATGTGTCATACCTATGTATCAAGTCATGGAACTCAGAAATATCAGTTGTACCCAACTATTGTCAAGAGCCTTAATAACCACATGGATATTGACCATGTTGCAAGATAAAAATTTGGAGACACATACAAATATCATAGAGCTTACCTTTGTCACTTTCTCACAGCATGTTAGAATTTTATGTGTATCTCAAAGTCCAAGGTTAGTATTACATTTTGCTACAATGTTTCTTGTTACAATGTCTTCCTTAAACTCTTATGTAATACAACTGTATCTACTTTTAAATTCACATTAGCTAAAAGTTCATTAACAAAATCACAACATAAGATACCATATCCATCGCAAGTTTTATCATTAACGAACTCCTCTAATTGAGATGTATTTTCCGAATCCTTACACATACCACTACATTGCCATATTTTCCATACACATTCAGTTTTGTTCAGAGTTGAAACAGAGTTGTCTAACAAACTTAAAAGAAACAACTGTATTCTTGGAGCTTTCATTTCCTTCTTTTTCTTGCCTTATGAAGCATTAGGAGGAATATTAAGTTGCCCATCTCCTTGAACTTAGCCAACAAGTGTGTTTTGACTCCATGTCATGAGGAACTTTCAGGTCCATCTTCATCCTCTTGGCCAAATATCCAACTTTGGGCTCCTGTTTTTTAAGGAGACACATTTGAATTTTTGGACAATCTGATCGTATTCTTTATTGTCCATCAAAATGACCTCACACGTCATGACATAGGAACTTGCATCAAAGTTCCAACTTATTTTCTTCCTGCGAAAACAAACTGCTTTGTTCCTAGCGCCATCGTTGCTACGACAATGATTAGCTGGGGAGTGCATTACTGACATCCTTTTCTCACCGAGACAAATACACTTTTCATATTCATTGTGTTGTTCTTGAATGTTGGTCGGTGAGGCCAGAGTGTCACCTCACCGGCTTTTCCTTGGTCTTACAAATGTTAGATAATCTGTCCGGGCTTAAATGCTGGTTTGTCCAGAGTTCACTACGAATATGAAACAATTATACGAGAGAGTAAATCTCAGTCTTTTCTTATCCAAGAAATCTGACATTTTTTCTTATTCTAAGTGTCCTCCATAGAGATCTTCAAAAACGAGGTTTTGGTGGGTGAGGATTACTCCCTTGATCCATGTCTTGGAAATTATGCACATTCTCCGACGATTCTGCCTTCAGTTATAATTTCTACTCTTTGAGTGTCCGAGTATGACATGTAGTATAAATTCATGTATAATTGATTCCTTGGCGTTTCCGATGAATTCTCACCTTTACTCCTTCCCTCTTCTTCTTTTTAAATTATTTCAATCATATGCCACGCGGGCTCTTTTTGTCACTCCTAGCGCATAATTCTCAGAGTCAAAATTATTGAACACATTGATAAATTTTATTAATACTATTGAGATGAGAAAGAACATATCATGATGATGAGAAAAATTTAGGAACGATATCATAACTTGTCAGTTAACTACAGCATATACTTCATAGCAGAATCACGTTGC